TCTAGGTAGTATATTCATCTCAAAAGGAAAGGGAAAGTAACCCTGCTTCTATCAGCATGCATAATTGCTTCTGCAAACTGAAACAGCTTCTGAAGAATAGATTGTTTTATCCAAGAGCTTCTTAGACATGTCTCTCAACTGCAATACAAGAAAGCTGGAAAGGAGTGCAGAACTGCTTCTCCTTTATTTCATTTCACACTTTTCCTCTGCCCAGAAATTCCGCGGAAGTTGAAATTGGGAACTTACTGAATTGAAATGCCTTTTTCATTTCTGCAAAAAAAGGATCCTTTAGTGAGACAGCATTTTTGTAAGATTATTTTCACTGGAAAGTTCTCAGATTTACTCGCAAACAGCTTTAAGATACTGACAAACTTTTCTGCAAATCTGAAAGAAAATAGGGAAAAGTGGGTTTCCAATGTTGAACTGCAGATGATCATTAATTTCTAATCTATACGTTTCATTTAAACGTTAATGTTCTACTTTCTCTCTTTCAATGACAATAGCACACATCTCAGAAATTTTATGTTGTTGTTAGTTTTGACAAAAGAATTCTAAAAGGAATATAAGCAGTTAAGTAAAGGCAGACAGTTGATTTTCCTAGGTTAATAATTCCAGCATGTACGTGTTCCCTCTAGTGGCTGAATGTGGGTTAGAGATGGATACTGATGGTGCTTGCTTGGACGAATGCGAACTGCAGCGGTGATGTGTTCTGAAATATCTTCCAGTCCCTAACATGCTGCTGTCTGCAATTTGCTCCCTGCTGACCCCAGAACTCCAAGCTGGATCTTGCTTGCAGTGAGGAGGGAGCTTAGCATTTTTACTATCTTCTTCGTCACGGCAGCTTGTGCCCCTCGAGAACAGCAGTGTTAGGGAGCAGTGGTGGTGGTTGTCACAGGCAAAGTTACCAAATTCTCCCTGAGTCAGGCCTGCATTAAATATATGGAATATACCCTCTGATGTCATGCTAAACAATACTTTGGCCAGTTTGTGACAGCTGTCCTGGGTCTGTCCCATCCCAGCTCTTGTTGCACCCCCAGCCTACCCACTGGCAGCACAGAGTGAGAAGCTGAAAAGTCCTTGGCTTGGTGTAAGCACTGCTCTGCAGCAATTAAAACATCGGCATGTTATCAGCACTCTTCTCATCCTAATCCAAAACATAGCACCCTACCAGCTACTAGGAGGAAAATTAGCTCTATCTTAACTGAAACCAGGACAATTTAGAAATCTGTTATTTCATCTCACACTCTTTCAATGTTTTTCTTACAAGTCTTTACCTGGAAACTCAATTTAATGAATTCAGTGGGTAGATGGTTTATATGCAGCTATACTTCAACTATGTAAATTGCAGGAATCAGTATTTTGGGGGAATTTAAAAATATCTTTATCATACATTAAGCCTGATGAATCCAGTTGCAAGCCAGAATTGGACAACATATATGTCTCTGAATAGCTCTCACTGCAATAGTCTCTCCTTCTTTAAAGGAGTAATTATAGTTCCTGTTCTATCATGAGTTGTAGTTATTTACCACAAAGAAAAAATAACTTTTTGTTTGTGATATAATTTATCCTTTGTCATAAAGGATTTACTGGTTAATACATGACCAAAAATAGAATTGCCTGAGTCAAAATGACTAATTCTTCCCTTATAGTTTGGTTCCTTCTTCTCCTAGGCTTGTATAATTTGTGTATTCAGATAGGAGGCAATCAAGGGAGATCCTGGGGAGTGGTACATAGCCATCCTCTTTGGTAAGAAACACATATGCTACAAAGGTACTTTTACTGGGCCTATACTAATACACTAATGCTAATCTTGGGCCTATACCTATACTAATTTCATTGCTGAAATTACATTCTCATCTTTGAGAGAAAGAATGGGACAACTAGTCTGCATAAGGCAAGCACATAGTGTGGACTGCTAGGTACTACTGGCAATGCCCAGCTCTTGCAGGTTATATCACTGCCTCTCTCTAGCTGGGGAAGCAATAGGATGTGGTGGGTGGGTGCCCCTGCTAGGTTCATCTCTGCACATCTCCTTCCTGAGGACACGGCCTGCGGTAGTACCCAACCTGCAGTAACCGTATTGAGTTTCAGTGTTCTTACTGATATTTTCAGAGATGCAGAGACCGTCAATACCTTGGTCATCTCCTTGCTTTGGTAATTACTTTATTTTATTTTATTTTATTTTATTTTATTTTATTTTATTTTATTTTATTTTATTTTATTTTATTTTATTTTATTTTATTTTATTTTATTGTATTTTATTGTATTTTTTAATTTTATTATTATTTGGTAATTATTATGCTGTTATTGTCATGCATTTGGTTTAGCTTTGAAAATTAAACTATTCTCTCCCTCTCTAGAGCTCTAATAAAATCAGTGTCAAAAAATATTGCACTGCCTATGATGATTCTCTACATTGAGTACTTGTCAATTGAGACTATATGTATTGAGTTGATTTTTTTTTTTTTTTTTTTTTTTTTTAAGAAATGGTATTGTCTAGTGTAAGGACTCTTCGAGGGTGATGCTGACAAGCATACCCACTGAGTGGTGGGCAGGAAGCTCAGGCACTCCATTGGAGAAGGTCTGTGGTAACTTTCCTAAATTCTGTTTTACAGTTGCTATCTGCAAACATGAATCCAAGGCAAAGAACTTTATTATCAGCTTGTGAATTTTCATTTAATTTTGACATAAATCTGTAAACTGAGGAGTCATTTTTGGCATGATCAGATGACACAATGACTCAGCAGTTAAACTCCAACATCTGCCGCAACAGCACCTCCTGGGAGTTTCTAACAAGAACTAGGTTGTTATCAGTTTGTAAATTAGTCATATTGAATAAAGAGGAAGTAACCAGTAAGTAGAGTAGGGAAGCATAGAAATACTTCCTATAACTAAGTAGATAGTAAAATGCCAGTAATATTTCCTTTTTCCTACTTCAGTTTGACTGTTGAGACAAATTGTTCTAGAGTAAGACAAAGTGATCAGAGACTTTGGCTCTTAAAGGATGCTCTACAAACCCCTGTTACAACATGCTATGTAATATTACGGGCCAAAGAGTCGTGTTCATGTCTAAAAATTTAGGAGATTTCGCTTTTGATGCTGAATGAAGGATTGGACACAAAGAACAGTTACTTTCATTACAAAGAGAAGAGATAAAGCACTATTAAAAGTGACATCCTATTCTTCAGCTTCCCATAATATTTTGTGTAGTATGAGGACTTTGGAGTAAGAGGTTCAACTATGGAAAAGAGAGACTTTTTCTGCATGTTTTCCTTTGAGTTCCTTGAGAAGAGACTGCAAGCAGAAGGGCATACCGAGGTGCAGCATTTGTGTGTGTGGGTGGGGAGCCCGGTATCTAGTCCGGGAATTTCAGGTGAGGCAATATAATGAAACCGTGGGAGTACAGAGAAGGGTAGCGTGGGTGGAAATCAACTAAAATGACATCCTGAGGGTTGGTAACTCGCCTTCGATCAGATTTTGTTATGTCTAACGTTAAGATGGGAATGTGGCCTCAGCAGAGGTGGGAGGAACCCAGGTGGTTCACACACACTTGGGGGTACCCAGACTCGTCCTCAACAGCTGGTGACAGGGCTGCAGTTTTGTCCTGACAGCAGTACAGAAACTTTGCAAACTATCAGTGTGCACATTGGCTTGGTGCATGTTACAGGCAAAACTCAGAATTAGCAAACTGGTTATAGGAAAGAATTCAGAAACCAAATGTGAGGAAAGAGTTGTTAATCTTTGTAGTTACGTGCTCGTAGCCCTTGGGTTCACAAGTTGCTAGTAAGGGCATGTCAAAACTTGTTGATCCCTATTTAGGGAAGAGCAGGAGGACCTGAGCAGAGGATTTCATGGGCAGACATGTCATTTCTTGTGAGCATGCAGTAGTGCTCTTCATGACCCAAAAGTCATATTCCTCCTACATTCCTTGAATTCCCTGCAAAAGGCACAAATTAGCCCTGATCAAACTACATATTTGTAGTTGACTGCATCTTAAATAAGTTAAGTGCATCTTAAAATTCTAAACAAAGGCAAAAAAATCCTGAAAATTTTGTCTGGAAAAACATTTCATATGCAAAAGAGATCATGCCCAAGACAGAACCAGATGCATAATAAAGACTGCCTCAAACTCAGAAAAATGTTTTGTAAATCTCTATGAAGTGAACAATACTTTTTCCACTCAGAGATGTGATTTTCACATACAGTAAATGTAATCTTAATGAAGAAATGAGATTTGACATACAGAGTTAATTTCCTTAAAGCTGAATTTGTCAGAATAACACCTAACTCAGTCAATTAATAAAAGAAAATACATTGCAATAGCAAAGTAAATTAAAGTAAAGTTGGATTCAGAGCCATTTTCAGACCAGGGAATATCTTTTGTTTTTGGAGTGTTAACAATGAAAAGCCACATGTTATTGTCTGCATCCAACCATCACAACCCTGATTGAGTATACTCACAATTATACAGAAAAAATCAATAAAATTTTATGGTCTGTAATATATAACAAACTGTGTGCTGATTTACTGGAACACTTAGAATGAATAAGGAGATAAATAATGCACATAAATTAAGATAATATTAAAATGTTTATACATGTTATTTTTTTCCTAAATGTAGTCAGCATTCCAAGGAAATAGTCATCAGTTTTACTTTTTTGTTTGTCTTTTGGTATTGAGTAGTATTGCTATTCATTAGACTAAGTAGGTATTTTATTTTTTACCATATGAAATATTGGACGTTTTGCTATTCTTAAGGGCCTCTTTACTAAAACTGTGTTAGAGGTATAGCAGTTTAGAAACACCTATTGTTTTTATTTATAATTAATATACTGAAATTTCTCTGAGCTGACAGTAGTCAAAATAGTTATGCTTCTACATTAGTCACAGATGAAGATTTCTGTTTAATAAATGGGGAATGAGCTTTCTGTGAAAAAGAGGAAGCGACTTTGGTTTATATAGCATGACCTTGTCTAAAGGGAGACACAGTCACTCATATAGAACTGAAGGAGAACATGCTCTGTGTCTGAAAAGCCAATACAGAAAATATACACAGCAAACCATGTGCCTGCAGCATTACTGAAGGTAACATTTTTTCTGAATATTTCTTCAGGAAATAGAAACAAGAAAGCAGATGCTTTGCTGGTTGTAATGTATTAACCCATTAAAAAAAAAAAAAGAAAAAGAAAAGAAAAAAAAAGAAAAAAAGAAAAGAAAAAAAAGAAAAAAAGAAAAAAAAAAAGAAAAAAAAGGAATAGATAGAAGCCTAACTTCACTGCAGCAAGCTGTAATAACTAAGATATTTTTATTTATGCATTTGTGTTACAGTGATGCCTAGGGATGTTCTGAACAGGTTGGGGATCATTGTTTTGAACAAAGAGGAAAATACGTTTAATTGCCATGAAATACTTTGTATCATAATTTAAAGGTCATTGGGATGAGAAAAGTAGTGTGTTAAGGGGAGAGTAACACTAACAACCAGAGTGTTTGTTTGTTTTATGAAGATGTCATGAAATTTATTATTATGTGTAAAATTTTGCATGCGATAAAACTGCCTTTATTGCGTGGCTATTGCAGTACTTCACAAGATCAGGGTTGAGATGCTTAGACAGAGGTATATATATATATATATATATATATACATATATATTTGGCTGAATCATATTCTTTGATGTATGCTGCTAAAATTGCTGTTAGAATAGTATGTGCAAGTGCAGCACCCATTCTTTGTTGGTGCTGGCTGATGCCCTGGCATGAGTCAGCTTCTCGTCCATGCTCCAGCTGTGCAGCACTGGAGGTACTGGGAGAGGGCAAAGGGGAGAGTGACAGGGAGGGAGCTGTGGTTTTTCCTGCCCTGCTGTCTGTCCTGCAACTGGATAGCAAGTGGATGATTTGGTTCTGCTCAGGCTCTGGTGCCCTCCGTAGGGCCATGCTTCTCCAGTGAGCTTTTCTGGTGGAAAGATTTTCGGATTTCCAGCCATGTAAAACTCAATGTGTGGCAGTGAAAACAGCTTAAAGCTTTTTTTTATTTTTTTATTTTTTTTTTTTTTTTTTTTTAATTAAATACAGAGCAGCAAATGTGGTGTGGATTTTTCAGAGATGTAGAATGTGGTATAACCTTAATGATTTCACACTCAAATAGACTCTTGCACACTGACTTTTCACATCTCAGTTGCCAGATGTAGGTATAATGGCATTGAACATAAAGTTACATCACTGCTGCTGACTTTGGTCAGAAGTTTTAGGATGGCACAGTGACAAAACCAGAACTTCAGTTTCTAATTGGAATAGCTGTCCTGGGCACAAGGCAGTATGAAAGCAGTCTGCTCTCTGACAAGCTGTCAGAGGTTTCTCAAGCCAAGACAAAGGGAGCTAGGTGAAAGAGAGAGAAAAAAAAAATGACAGTGTATTCTTTAAAATATCTGACACTGAGGAGGTAACCATGTCCTGATTTTTCCATCCCTTCTTTGGTCAATCTATATTTAAAACTGTAAAAAAAAATAGAAAATAAAGACTGGATGTTTTACTGGCATTCAGATGCTACAGATTTGATGGAGGCAAGGAGCCTATGCATGTCCTACTTCCCCTAAAGTGTCTGTAGAACTGAATGTCATGTAAAAATAGTTGTGTTCTGCAATCTATTACAGAATGCTAAAATTACTCTAATAACTCTAAGATATTTTTTCTTTCCTAATAGCAGTCACTTTCCTAATGTTTTCCAAAGCACTTGAGACATCTTGTTCAATTAATAATCATAATTAATAGAAAAGTCTTAGCTTCTAAATTCATCTGTAGATCATTATCTTTTCGTGACATAACTAACATTTAAAGGAACCATTTTATTATTTTACTTTGCTAAAAATACATCAGTATTTATATTGGTCCATTTATCCTCGAGGGAAAATTTATTCAAAATAAACCCACAAAAATGGAAGGAGGAGTTTATATTTGCTTGCATTATAAAAGAACAATGAAACATTATTTTTTTTTTAAAGTCCAGTATTAGAATATATTTATTCATATTGCATGGTTGCTACCACTGACATAAGAGGACTTACTCAAGAATAAAGCACTATTAAGCATGAGTAAAGTAATCAAAACTGTGCCTCAAATGGATGGAAAATATGCAGTGTCCTGTAAGTGCTCGGTTGCTGGTAATGGCTCTGTGTATATGGAACAATGGGTGTTCAGTTATTTTATCAAAGCTTTTAGCAGCACAGGATGACAATGCTGAAATCTCCCACATCTATATTTGGAATACACTTCCTCCTTTCAAATGTCACTATGTATTTTTAGATATAAAAAAGGGGGATCTATATTCTTTCAACATATTGCACAACATGTGATGCTTAAATGAAGGAGACCACGCATGCCCTTTTTCAGTTGACCTTAAAGTGCGATTATGCTTCTCTGCCAGCTTCTTCTCTGGAAAGGAGTCTGGAACATAGGAGTGAGGACTTTGCCTCTATAAAGGACAAGTCTGTGTTGCGACCCAGGGCTTTTTGGCCTTTCCATGGAGGAGACAGCTCTAAATGTGTGTGCCATGGCTTCAGAGGTGCGATGAGCGCTGAGGAGGTGCCGTGTGTATTTGTTCTTCACGTGTGCACATTGTGTATGATGAGTCCAGTGTCACCCCATCTGCGGCATAGATTGTGTGCCTGGAATTGTGCAAGCAATATATATGTGCACATATACTTATGTATGTAGACACATACATATCCACATATGTATGCAATGCAGGATGCCTAGCTCTCTCTGACTTTGAAAGTAGCCTTGGGTGAGAAGTATCACAAATCCTCATTTTGTCTTCTCTACTTACCCTCAACGATCAGATTTCTCTTCCTGGTCTAAGAAGGAAGGAGGGTTGCATATTTATCTGAAAAAGCTCTCCTCTTGATAGGGGAAGACGTTATAGTAGGACGGGATGCTGGAAAGCTAATTTTAAAATAAAATTTGCCATATCTTTTAGAAGCTCTTGTAATTTAACATATTTAAATTCCTTTTTTTTTTTTTCTCTTCTTTCCTTTACGCTAGACTAATTTCTGATATCTTGGCTGCAAATTTTGTCAGCATCTTTTTCCATAAGATTATCCCTGTGTCATGTCCAAATGACTCACAATAGTGTCAGGATCTTTGTGACCCTTTTTCATCTAACTACCATTGTCTAACACATAAAGTTTCTTGGTTTGCTCTGCTTATCTGATCATATGTAAAAGGATAAGATGTCAGATTCTTAATGACTAAGGCTGTTGGGTGATAAGGTAATAAAAGGACAGGATAGAAAGGTGAAAGACATAATGAGTAGCAATATCTAGAGCAAAAAGTGTTTATTGAATGCAAAGCTGCTGCCTGCCTGCCGTGATATATTAGTAATGCGATAAACTATGTCCATTTACACAAGACAGGTTTATCTGAGGTGAAGCAGACTTTCATGTTGCCATTTTATTTTGGTTTCATTTTATACTCAGTTTGCGTAGATATAGGTATAAATAATTTGCTTATGGAAAGCATTTAACCTGTCTTTTGCATGTCATTCTCTTTTCTGACAGAATACAATTTTATTGTTATTATGTATACTTTTATGTGTTTTGGGATCATTCTCAAAATTCTCAGAGACTATTCACTAGGTCCTGAGCGTTGTGCATCTGCCTCCTCATCACTGGAGATTTTCAAGATACAATCAAACAGGGTGCTAGATAATCTCATCTAGGCTCCCCTTTCCCATGAGAAGGACCTGATGATCTTTTGAGATCCCTTTTAACCTGGGCCCTTCTAAATGATGCTATGATGCGTGATTCAACAAAATGCAGAAATCGGTGGTGATTTTACAGTGCTGTGTATGCTCTAACTCAAATAAAAGAACTATTTACTGGTCAGACACCACTGTCTTTGCCCTTCATAGCAATAGAGAAATCATCCATGACAGTTTTGTTTTAGCACTAGAGTTTAAGAACAATGGCTATATTTGCGCTAACTTGTGGGTTTTTTTCAGTCTATCACTTTCATATCATTCTGCCATCAGTATCTTGTACTTGCCTAAATACTACCATTGGCTTTTTTTTTTTAATCTTGAAAATGCCCTATTATTGTCTCCAGCATCTGAACGTTTTTTTTTTTTTTTTTTCTTCTTGCCATATTTATTTCTGCTGCTACCTTACATATGCAGGTTTTACAATTTTTTTTATTATTTTTTTTACTTTTTTTTTTTTCCTCTGAACAGTCCTATTGAAAATAAGAGAGAACTCAACTACTGACTTTTCAGAAATGACTCATTTTTCTCCCCTCCTAAATACATCTGTTTTACTGCTATGATTCTTTTCTGTCTCTTCAATTTTGTCACCTGTTTTTGACACAGAATCAGAGAGAGATGACAAAGGTGGCTTTTTGTCAGTTTCTCAGTGTCTTGATGCTGGCCTATTCATTGGAATCTATTTGTGTATTTGTAGATACTTACCTGTATCCTTGCCTTTTGGTTTTTGCTTTTCTCATTCCCACTGAGTTATGTGAGGAAAAAGTATAATGACTATAATATCCTAGCTCAAGAGTATGTGAGGAATCCCCCGATGGAAGAAAAATCCCCTGCTGGAATGGCTGAGATAACTTAATGTCTCCTGAAACAAGTCTGAGGATATGATCCCATGTTTGCAAAATTTCATTTTCAGAGTGTTATGTTGACAAAAAGTGAAACCAATGTGAAATCACTGGTCTAAAACATTTGAGCTATAAAGTCTCAGGAGTAAAAAGTTGTGTATATTATTTTTTTTATGCGTGGGCACTTGAACATCATGTGAATGCGAGTGACTCAGATCTGTCTTGAATTTCCTCAATTGAATAAAATGCCATCACATTTACCAGTAAGAGGTGCCATCCCTTTTGGTAAACTTAGCTTATTAATTTCATGTTGTGACATGTGCTATTGAAATTCTTGTTAGACAGCAGGTATAGTTTATACATGAATAGCATTTTTTGGAGGTCTGCAGACCCTGATAATTCAGATAGTTGAAAGAAAAAAAAAAGTCATTGTATTAAAAACACAATATATAGCATTTAAAAACCACTTAACACTTCTAATAGTGAGACATATT